GTTTTAAGAATAAGGTTATGTGAAAGGAAGGTAGCTACTTCTAGTTTATCATCTTATTCAGTTATAGCACTGAAATATGCAGTATAATACGTATCTCATTAAAACTCCGAATAATGATTTATTTTAATTATGCACAACGCAAGAGAGTTAGTGTGTGAATCTGTAGACTAACATCCACGTTTCCGCCTGCATCTGGCTGGCTTTATTCATAGTCAGGTTGGTGTGTAAATTCCGTAGTCTGCAGCCTTCTGTTTATATCCAATCCAACGATATGAGTATGAATATTACTGCTGTTTCTTCCTTCCGCTTAGCGGAAAAGTTCGGAGTTCGAGAAAACCGTGAACCCTGGCCATTTCATGCAGAGCAGCAATGAAGCTCTGCTAAACCTGTCGCTACAAGCTGCGTTCCTGGACCAAACTTTTTCGAATTGGAGATGGCTTCGTAAAATGAATCAATCAATCATCCAACTAGTCAGGTGCATTTGCTTAAGCAGCAAGAAATTGATTCGTCACAATTTGTCAACAGAATAACTGTATATAGGGTACAAAACCACTGATAAAAAATAACGCAACAAATTAAGTTTCACTCTCAGTGCCTCATGCATAATCAGTTTTCGTTGTCATTCCGGTTCTGTGAGAACTCTGGCGAGAAATAACAAAACCTTGAACGATAGAGCTCTGTGCGGATACTCAGAAACTGCCTTCAAGATCCTTGTGTGTCGTAGTCGGTCACAAAACAGGGTATAGATGGTCAATTCATCGATATATGTATAAAATTTTGTATGAGTTTTGATATGCAGCTGTTGGTGAATAAAATCGTCGTTCTCCTTCGTCTGGCTCGTATCCATATCCATATGGCCAAAATCTTCAGTTGCTAAAAAAGAGGTTTCTGGACCAGGTGGATTTACTCCTCGCTCTCTAGCATTATTTTCCCTGGCATGATTTTACTAAATGTGTTGTACAGAAGATTGGAGATTTTTACCTTGTGCCACTGAGGTAGAGGTGCATTTCGGTAACTGCAAATCACGATACAATGATTATTTAAAATTGTCATATTAATTCTCTTAACGGAGCATACTGGAATTTTTTTAATCATGTAGGCTGCTTTTTGAACAAATAATAGAATCTATCAGCATCATGACCCACGCTTTTATGATGTAAGGGTCTGT